ACCCCTGAGTCCGTGCATGACATGTCGTGCCTTTGGCATGGATGACAGAATAGGAAATGTTCCCTTTACCACACTCTGTGAGCAAATAGCTAAACACAGCTTATGTAAATCAAGCAATCTGTGACCTCCTCACATCATGAAAAACGTCTCTCGACAGTAGATAGGTGAACTCCAAAGCTCTCTGTGACCAGCATTACACAAACCACCACGGGAGCGATATTAATTGATAAAAATACTTAATAAACCCTTGTCAACTCCCAGTTCTGATTTTGTAACTCTGAAGCTACAGCCGGATCAGATGGGGCCCACAGAAGTTTTGAGATGTAGCAGAAGAACTGGTTTTATACATAAGCAGGCAAACACTAATAAAAGAGCCATCTAACCCACCCAGAATGCAACAGCGTTACTAAACACAGACTGACGCCGTTGGGTCTCTGTTCTCTCCCGCCTACTTGACAATGGGCCTCGTTAGCTACAGCTTCTGTTCGATCTCTCCCAAAGACAGAGGCTGGAAGACACCACGCAGGGAACCGACCCCTTTCAAACCCGACAGAACACGCTAGAAACACTGACGGAGTTACAAAACCCCTCCGTACGCCGTTAAACACAGCCTGTTCTTTTTGATCTCAGGCTTGTCGTCCTCTCATAACCAGTCCCGGTATTAATATCAAGATCTGTAGGAACTTCTGTAGGTTCTAGAAGAGGTGGATGAGCAATGTAAGAGATGATTCTGGTGTAGAGGTAACAGAAGCAGTGAAATAACAGGAGGTCATGAGATTACACCTTGGATACCTTGTGTATGATGTGTGTCCTGTAGCAGGTGGTTATGGGCAAAATTAAGGTTATTAAAATCATGGGTGGTGCCCATCACAGGCCAAACCCCCTCAGAGGCCATACTTGTCATCTTCGAGAGAGATCTGTAGACAGGCCCGGACTGAGGAAACTGCGCATTGTCCGCCTTCCTGTCAGGCTTTATTTACAGGTGGGCTGGGCCATCAATCACACACCAACACACACCAATCTCCTTAGAAAGGGCTGCCGTCGGATACTGCGGAACCCTCCGTGAGTTCGTGCCTGGCAGATGACCGATGGGGAGATACTTCTCTATTGGGGGGAGCGGGGGTGGCAGGCGGGGGGAAGCTGTCAGGCTGTCAGGATGTGACGAGCCGCCTCTCCCGGCAGACCAGGGTATCCCGCGTTAGCCTTCTCCGCTAGGAATCCGGCGTCTCCGTGATTGAACATGGCAGCACACTCACTTCAGCTTCCCCATGAAGCCCTGGTTTCACTTTAGAGGAGCATCTAACAAGTGGTTCACCGCTCGGTCTAATCCTCACTGACCGTTGACCGTTAGCCACCTGGCGGGGCCTTATGCATGACCCCTGTGTTCCTGCACAGGAGCATTCAAACCCCAAAGCCTCAAGCATAATATAAGCCTGCAGTCAAGAGCTGACTCTTGTAGCTTGTGCCCACAGACTTTCACACCTCTAATGCAGTGCATTCAGCACCAGTTAAACCTCTTTCCTAATTAATCATAGGTCCTTTGAGTCATTAGGGGCGTTCAGTACATTTGCACTGTATTAGTCAGGCTAAATTTAAGCCGTACTGTTTGGAAGCACAGAGGCACGGTGGGCAGCACCGTTGCCTCACATATCCAGGATCAGGGGTTTGAAGCTCACCCCAATTCTGTGAAGATGGATGGATACATATACAGTATATGAATGCTGGAGATCTGGGATCCCCCTCAGACGGAGGTTACAAATAAGGAATCTTCCACATACACTTTCAGAAAAAAGGACAAAAATTTGTGCCTTTGATTGTCACTGAGGCTGTACACTGAAGGGTCTCCCAATTGCACCCATAGCTGTAGGTAATTGTACCATTTAAGGTACAGAAATTGACATTTCTGTACCATTTATGGTACACTAATGCTGGTTGTACCTTTGGGATGTTCCTCAGAGTCCATTTCTGTACCTTAAATGGTACAATTACAAGGGTACAGCCCCAGTGACAGGCAAAGGTACACATTTTTTGTCCTTTTTTCTGAAAGTGTATGTGGGAGATCCCAGATCTCTAGCATTCATATACTGTTATAGAGGTTATAGATCTGGGGTCATCCACATATGGAGACTAGAGATCTGTGAACTCCCACATATGCAGGTTAGAGATCTTGGTTCTGCTACGTATGGGGGTTAGAGATCTGGGGACTCCCAGGTATTGAGGTTAGAGATCTGGGGACTCCCACGTATGGAGGTTAGAGATCTGGGGACTTCCACGTATGGAGGTTAGAGATCTGGGGACTCCCACGTATGGAGGTTAGGGATTTGGGGACTCCTACGTATGGAGGTTAGAGGTCTGGGGATTCCCACGTATGGAGGTTAGGGATTTGGGGACTCCTACGTATGGAGGTTAGAGGTCTGGGGACTCCCACGTATGAAGATTAGGGATCTGGGGTTTCTCACAGAATCAGGAGAGTCTTGGTGTCGTGTTGAGACCAGAGGCATCCACAGCGCTGTCAACAACAGCAAAGTCCACTTTTATAATATCGCTCAAATATACAGCTGGCATTTCCAGCACTGTCACAACACCGCATAAATAATCAAACAGGTAATTACAAGCTTTGGATTTTCAGCGTAAACACTGGGCCAGGTGTGAGTATTTTGGGAAAGCGTAGCTGCTTTTTATAGGAGGGGTTTCGAACTGCTGAAAACTGCTGGTACTGTGACAAGGGGTGACACGCAGTCCCAGCGGGTGGCATCATCACCTCACACCTCCAGACATGTAGGTTGGAACACGGCCCCCGCTCTGTCTGTGTGTGAAGTTCGTGCCGCGGTTGTGTGGAATCCCTCCGGGTGTTTTCCCATCATCCCGACTCTATATGTGGAATATAGTGGCGGATCGTCCTTAACGAGCGAATGCGTTCACTCGTTTTCTGATAGACTCTCAATCTGTTTCCCAGGAGAGACATCAGATCACCGCGGCCCTAACTGCCCAAGCACATAAAACATGTGGAGAACAGGGGGGGGGCGGGGAAAGATCAAAACACAGAAATGAAAAGAAATCACTACTATGTCAAGATACACCATATATTTATTTGTGAATTATTATCTTCTCATAACAACAGAGTGCTCTTCAGAAAAGTCATCTTTATCACGCGTGTGAGTTTGCTAGGGAGCCAGTAAATCGCTTTCCCAGAGGATTGTTGGACAGGTAAACGGGCAGCCCACCACACGAGCCTCCCGACCTCACAACAGATAAATGTAAATGTGAAGGCTTGACAACTCAATGAAATGTAGCTTCTCGATGGTCCAAACCGCGGCAGGACACACTGTGAGGCGCTGATGGCCAGGGATGTCTTGGCAATAAACACGTTTGGAGGTTCATGGGATTGCGATCGATTGTAATTGGATTTCGTTTTAGTTACGAGCTGGGCGGAAAGTAATTAGGATCAAATCCCCACACTAGTTTCACTTTCATGTCCCTCTAAGCATGACTCTATTCATGTGTAATACTCGAAAGTTTGCAGCTTGAAGTGATGTAATGCTTTGGCAATGCATCGACAAGTAATAACACCGCTCGATGGCTAATAGTTTTAAAAACCCCAAACGATCGATTTTGAAAGCCAGCTAACAGTTTTATTGTCTTTTTCTGTATATTTGTTGTGCAAGCGGAAAGAAGAGTTCATTGTCACTTCAATAGTTTGTTTATGAACTGTGTGAGAGCAAGGACACATAATAAAGCAGCTCTGTTAGTGTGATTTGGAATGCCAGTGAACGCCGGTGTTATTCAGGAGAAAAACAGGATCACCGAAATGCCAAGAAGAAGCTACTATGGTTGGAAAACTTGAGCCAATCCCTGCTCCTGCCTTATGGATCACTTACAGCAAGTAGAAGCAGAGGATCAAAGTTCAGCGTCACACGACGGGATCCCTTCAGCGGAACCGCCAACAGCAGCACGCGTCAAAGATTAGACGGAATTCTGTTGTTTACAAAAATTTATTCATACAAATCTTACAACACGTTTTTTTTTTTTTTAGACATTTATCAACGTTACCCCAGTGGGGTGTCCGTATGTAATTATAACGAGATTACTGGCTAGGATTAACTTTCCACACAATATATATATATATATGTATTTTTTTTTTTTAAGTTTAATCTTCACGTTGTAAGGCTTTCGGAGCTTTCAAAAAAACGATACACATCAGGCGTTCAAACGGTGGGGATGCAGGACGCTTGCAGGTAACTCATAAAGTCTAATCTACATGTCTTAAACAGGTGCAGAATGGACGAATAGAAGGATAGTATACTCAAAGAATGATAGAAACAAATGGGGGGAAAAAAGCCGCTCTCTACACCTAATCCCGCAACTATGGAATCCAAGTAGCGATTGGCAGGGTACAAGACAAGAAATGGGGGGGGGAAGGGGCAGGAAAGTAAGCCGAAGATTTTCGCAGCATTGAAGGGCTACTAAAGAGCCATCTGTGACCAGCGGCGAGTTTATAGTCGAGGAAAAGGCACCAAAGCCGCAGCCTCCTGCGTCACAAAGCCTGGAGGGGGAATGCAAAATTAAACAGAGATTGATTTCATGTACACACGACTCAGGCACAGATCGAATCTTTTGCTTGTGTTTTTTTTCTCCGTTATTGTTTTCTGCTCATAAGGCTCAACCAGGTAGATGGGTTTGAAGATCCCCACGTCCTTTACCGGGTTGGGGGGGGGGGTATTTCCTTCCTTTCGGGGGGGCAATAACTGGGAGGTGGGGAGTGGAGAGGGGTGGAGGGTGGTTGGTATCAGGGGTCTCTGCTCTGGGCCCGATTTACATTTTCGCTCCGGACAATGCTCCCAAACCAGCACATCTCCTTTTACGTCTGTTGCCGTCGTAGCTAAAGATGAGCCCTGGTCTCTCCCTCCAAATGTCCAAATATTGGATTAAGAGGACAGGTCAAGTGGATTTGTTTAGCTATTGAGGCTCACTGAACCTGAACTGGGGGGTTGGGAGTAGGGGGGGCTGGGGGGGGGGGGGGGGTCTAGACAATAGGGAAGTGTGGCAAAGGGGGAGGTAGCCCCTGTCTGGGTTTACCCTCTCACTGAGTTAGCTCAGTCCATCCCTTGCTATATCAGCATACTCTGCTGTAAGCTTCTCTCTCTCTTTCATTCACTCTCTCTCTTGCTTGCTCTCTCTCTCTCTCTCTCTCTCTCTCTCTCAATGAGCTCTATTCACAAACCTTTTCGCAAATCACACACGCAAACCACGGCCATTTCTCTCTGACCGTTTTTTTTGGGAATTTACAAAGGACACTCGCATAAAATGGATTATAATACGCCATCAAAGACACAATCTCAGCTGGGTGTGGCTTTCAAGACTTCCCTAATTTGTTTTTTATCTGAATGAGAAAAAAAAAAAAACAAATAGTGTGAAAAAATTAGGATATCTGGTGTCATTTCCCAACTTCAAGGTGTAGAATTTAGACAGAGTACAATTTTACAATTTTACAACTTATCAGTAAACACAGAGTCCAATGTACAGAATGGATTCGTTCAAATTTCCAAATAATTGGACTCTTAAATCCCAAGTCTGATCCTGAAAAACATTGACACTGAGGTCCTGTTCAACATTATCCTGAGCTATTAACCCTCATGGGAGAGGAGGGATTCTGATTCATGTTTAACACTCCGTTACGGAGGCAGACAAGCAGCACAATCGATAAAATAAAAAGTCATACATTTACCACAGCAAATGAAGCGGAAATAACATCAGCAAAATCAGTGAGAGGAAAGGAAAAAAAACCTTAAGAGTGATATAGGGTGCACGTAATCACAAGCTATCACAATTACTTTAATTACCTGTTCTATCTTTACAGTGTTTTACATGACAATAAAGTTATGAACAGCAGACAGACCAGAAGAATCCAGTTGTAAAACTGTTTGTGAGATTAACCAAACTTAAAACGACTCACAGAAAAAGTACCACGTGTCATTTTCACTGTTGTTTGTTCTCTTTTGAGAAAAACAGCGACATGCCCGTGATATGGCCGTCTGACTATATTTTGAGACACGCTGATCCACCATGGTACTTTTTTCATGAGGAACAACACAAAAAAAAAAAAAAAAAACAACAAAACATAAAACCTTTTCAAGGGTTTTTTTTTTTCTTGTTTTCTGAAGCTTCTTAAACACATGACCAGCACTTAGAGAGAAACACATGTCACTTTGTGAGAAATGGTTTTAGGGTTGAGTCCCACCCTCATAAGAGTGAGCATTAATGCAGGAAGCCGAAGCTTTTAATTTGTTCTAGTAGGTTCTGCAGGTTTCCCTCTTTGGAGCATGCGTTATGACAGAGCTTACAAAAGATAAATGAATAATTCTCTTTTTTTCCCCTTAGGTTTCTAATGTCAGTCATGCCCTGGAGAATGGATGCATGTCGCTGATATTTTGATGTAACTTTAAGGTACGTATATCAACACTGTCCATGATTTCAAAAGAGGAAAGTGGTCAGAAAATCTTACTATACAGATACATACATACATATACATAGATATATGATATGTATGCTTGTATGTCGATGTATTTTGTTAGAAAAACAGAAACACAGATCAGGAAAGGGGGAAATCGGACTGCATACTTGGAGTGGAAAAAAGGAGGGGATAGTTCAGGTGAGGAGAAAGGGAGGGGTGGCAGGAGCCCCAGTGAACAGGCCTCGGGAAAAGCCTCGGAACTCACCGGAAATTCGGGAGAGAACTGTTTCAGCCAGTCTCCCAAAATAGCCTCAAACTCATCCCCATCCGGGAGGGCATCAAAGTCTATGTCTTGTAGAATATGGTGAAAATTAAAGTCTTCAGGGCTGTTGTAAATAAAAACACTAAGCTCTTAATTTCAGTTATAAAAATAAATGTAACATTCAATGCATTGATTGTCTTTTTCAACTATTTATTTTATGTATATATGTATATAGTTATATATTCAAAAGACAAGTTTCAGGCGCATGTAGATGTGCACATTTTTTTTCCTCTGTTTATTATAGGCCTTAATAAATATATATATAGCTATAGGTAAACTAATAGACTGGTCCACAAAGTAGATCTGTGTGGTCTCAAGTGCTTTTTTTGTACAAAAGAAAAACAATATTATTATCAAAATATTCATTTTAATGGCTTTACTTCATACATAAATACATGTTTAAAGAACACATGAGCGATCCACTGATTGTTCAGTTATCTCAAAATGACTTGATCTCAAGGCTGTACACAGAAGACAGTTTGGATTATCTGCGCTACAAATAGGATAGCCGGCGTCCTTTGTTTCTAAATCTCTGTCTATACCTTTTCCCCAGGACCGCTGCCAAATATTTCTTGACAGCCATTTGTTTTCGGTAGCGGCTGTAGCTGTCTGTGAAGATTCCATCCGAATGCCTTTTGGACAAAGGCTCCGAATCGTCTTCCAAATTGCTCGCTCCACTGCAAAACGGAAAACCAGGATGTTGTCTAAATTGCATGATATACGTCCCTTCCCTAGGGACTAAACGTATATTAACCTGAAGAACCCCCGACTTAAAACGAAACATTTCCGTTCCACTTCAATAAAATATATATATTCTTATGCGTTGCGCTTTTCATACAGTCCTTGCCAAATTATTTTTTTCGATGCCTACGAGACACTCGGGAGTTACCACATGTCTGTCTTTGACCCCCAGAGACAGTGCGAATATACATTATTCATACCAAAAAATGAAATGTATTCAGCCACGTGGATGCCGACCAATGTTTCTTAAAGGCACAATGTCGACAGCGAATTTTTTACGCGCTTCTTAAGCATATCGGTCACAGCTTAATCCCACACAGAGAGCAGCTTTTTCTATTAAATATATGTATATATAATATAACATACATTTAGAGTGATGAAATATTCATTCTTAGCGTATAATGGACGCGGGAGCCGCCCCAACATAACACACATACACACAAAAGGGAAACTTATTTGACTCGTGAACAATAGGAAAAGGGGAATAAAATTAAATGGAACTGACACGAAAAACGTTTTTAAAAAAATCACATACTCAACATAAACGATTATTCGGGACCGTACAGTTTGACCAAGGAAAACGCTTAAAAGAAAAATCCTTACCCTACACGCTTTGCCATCAGTGAATGCAGATATTTCCTTGCTGATAACTGACCCAAGACCTTCCTGTAGGCTTTATTAAATATCCCATCTGCATGCCTCTCCGTTCTGGGACAATAAACGCCAAACACATAGACCGTCAGTCACCCAGCGGAGAGGCAACACCTTCAAATCAATCTGCCATGTACTGGCCAGCACTATTGGCCGTGTTCCTTTATTAGGTTGATCCACTAATTTATTTTGTATAGGGGGTATCTGAGGCCAAGGGAATCTATCTGTTATCAGTGAAATGCATTTATAAACTTTACTTTCTTGTTCTATCCTAATTAGTTGACTAATCAATTGATTAATTTGCAAAAGGATGGCTCTTGCTGTTGTCTTTTTTCGGTATTCCTGGCACTAACAAATAAAACTGAATCTGGACAGCACATTTAGCTAACGAGACAAAAAGAAAACATATACAAAACAAGTAACAGAAATAAAACGTTTAACAGAAAAAAATATTCCCCACTAATGAAATGTCCGGAGTGAATAGAGAGAATGTGTAAAGATAGCAAATCACCTCTTCTCCGGTGGGTAGTATAAAGTAAATACGTCGTCAGTGACTGATGGAAGGCTTCGTATAGTAATTTGATCACCGTCAAAAGCCATGTCGGGTAACGAATTCCCGTCCTCGTCATAAACCTCATTTTCAAGTCTGTAACAAAAAATATAATAATAATAATAATAATAATAATAATACACACGGTATAGTTAATTTTGCACTAACTTTATAATTGTGGTGGTAAGTGCGTTGTTATGATCGCGGCAATCTGTGCTACCTATTAAATGAATTAGTGTTAAAACAACGGACGAAATATCGTCTATCGGATTCAGACATCCCCAGGGTAAAATACAAGATCAATAATAAACCCTAAGCGATTTGGTTTTTCTCATACATATAGAGAGCGCTTAACGAAAAACACATGTTTTCAGATATAATTTGCACTTCAAATAATTAAATTTATCGAGGAAAAATATGCATGAAGATTGCAGCCTGATTTTAGCAGACATATAGACCGGGGATTAGCGTTCACGAGACATAAAGACATATTGTCTTGAATTATTGAAACTTTCGATTTTCTCCTTTTATTGCATTAAAATGTGCCCCGATAACTGAAGCAAGGTGCTTAGGAATTTCGAGATGAAACGAATTTAGCTTGACAAAATTGTATAATCGAAAATATTATTCAGAATAGTGCACAAGTTCATCCTTGTGAAGCGACAGCCTTAAGGGCAACCATGCGTTTTGTTCAACAGTCAGTGGAGGCATTCTTTGCCTCTCATTTTCGCGTGCACAAATTCCAACGAATCGTCTACTTTTCTTATAAAGTACCTCCTTTATTTTTAGTGCCATGCACTATTAATTACATCCCAGCTGCCAGTTAACCATGTCAAATATCTTATAATTCAAATTGTTCTTAGAATAATCACGATTGTGTTCCTATATCATTTAGCCTATGTAGAATTATTAGTAGACAAATTCATTCTAAAGAATGGAATACTTCTAAAGCTGTCTATGCAATACGAAATGCTTTATGCTTTTTATTGCATAGCGTATCGTATTCTATCCTTCTTATAATTAATGGATGCGCGTTCAAAAATATTCGCTTTGAAATTTTCTTTCCAATTTGTCTTTGTTGCTATTTTTCCACGTATAAAGTAACTCAGCACCTAAAAATAGCATTCTATATCCTATTCAGTTAGGTGGCCACAGCAGCGACCAGAAACACCATTTCGACCGTAAACAATGAATGAATCCGCCGTTACGTACCTAATATTAGGGTAACTATGCCCGATAGGTGAGCAGAAGACGCTGCCGTGCATAAAGATTCCGTAGATGAGTAACGCTACAGTCGCTTTACTAGACATTGCCATTCTGCGAAAGAAATAAGAAAGTTAAAATTCTCATACAGCACGAACCATACATCGTTCAATCCACATAAAAAAACCTAAAATATACAACGAACAAAACTGTTAACCAAATTACAGTATCTGCTCGAATCATTTCTTTTTCTAATTCGGAGGGAAAAATGCACAATGCAAAAGCATTAAATATTACCCCTTAAATGAACTTTTTGCATGCAACTATAGTAGTATCCTTTGGGTAACACGCTTAAATCAACACGAGAGGCACGCGTAATGTAGAAAAAGGAGAATCCCCCATTTGTTTCACTTTGCTTTTGTGCATCCCCAAATCTTTCCAAGTTTCTTCGCTAAATATTTCCTTTTTTTGTTGCATGCTTGTAGATTTTCTGCCTGTTTGAAACACCGAAGATCGCCACATACCTATTGCAGAGTAGAGAGTAGAAGTGGATGCGATCCGGGCGCGGCTGAGACGGTGGGAATGAGATAAAATCTTTCTCACGCCACTTCTTCACTAAAGCGCCCCTGTCCTTTCTGTATGTGCCCGTTTGCGTGTCCAGCCCTCCACACTTTTATATATAGTATGCAGATATCGGATTTCTGTACAAACACGGCTCCCTGAAAAGGAATGTAAGCATTTGTCTACATATTATCTTTCGCCGAAACTTTTTGTTCTGCGGTCTAATTCCCTCGGATTTTTATTCATGAATCCGGCGGCTTTGCCTTTTTCATAAGTCACATTAAGGATGCTACAGACGTCATCAACCCTTCCTCCCGGAATATAATAGTACTTTTCCTTCCTCATCGATGAACAACTCAGAGTCATAAGCCTCCCAAGGATGTGTAGTATGAAAACGTAATTTTCAGACAAAGGATGTATGTTATTGTCTACCAATGTGTCATATACAATATTTCGGTCATCTGAGGTCATTTTGCGTGAGGGGGCTTTAATGTATCTTAAATAATTCAATTCCGATATCTGTTTTACAAGGAGCTATGTATGATTCGATAATTTAATAATATTCATTACTGTTGCATTTCATTTTGTTGCTATGCAAAGACATTTAATGCCTGCGATGATGTGAGACCGGTTTCTTTGTGTTGCATTTTGCAGGGAGTGAAAATTAACAGGAGCTATACATCTTAATAGTGTTAAAATCACATATCCTACAACTACGGGCGCTTACACTGCAAGTATAGGTATGAAGTCATACATGCATGTTTTAAGTTTCGTGTCGTGTGGTACAAAAAGCCACGTCGATGTCTTTTTATCTTTTACCTTATACACGCTATCACTTAAAAAATATGCCGACATATGATACTGAGTAGCAATTATATAAATCAAATATTCGCTATAATGTGATTTTAAGCATCAGGATTCACAGCTTAGATTCCTGTATGGTATGTTCAAACGTATATGAAATGAATATTCGCCATTATTTACAGTATAGGGCCTGTATCAATTTTGCACAAACGTAAATTCGGGGTGCATTTTCAGTTATTTCTTAAGTACCCTGTACTTAACCAAACTGTAAAACTGAATTTTAGTTTTTTTATATTTTCATTGTTAACCGGCAGTTCTCTAAGCAGTTTGTGATTGCGCCGCATTCGCATTTAAGCTGTCCATACGTTTCGCTTCGCTTTGCTGTCTGCATATTGTTTAATTTGCACCTTCGCTGATTCACACCACCTTATCCTTTCGCTCGCTCTGACGTCTTATGACGATCGTCGCAGCTCGTGCGCGCTGGGACCGGGTTGATCCTAAAAATGACGTCGGAATCCACCTTCATATAAACTTTACTTTTTAAAATGTGCCAAGTAAAGACTGCCATCAAGTGGTTGTTCGGTAAGAAGTATTTTTGCACACTCGTCTATCTTTAAGAATGGACTTTGTTCATCAAAATTCCGCTGATTTTTGACTCGTTTGTTCTTCTTCCAAAGTCCTAAAGTTTACAAGTAACATTTCATGTGTAACCGATTTCGGAGCTATACTGATTTCACCTAAAGAAACATTGTTTTAATAGACAAATAAAATAAAAATGTCTTTAGTTTCTTGGTTGTAAAATAATCGTAATTTGCTTGCAATTAAATTCAAAACTCTTTTTTATTAAATATCTTGAATCTCAATTTTGGAATAGAGTTGTAAAGTGGCATATTCTTTCAATTGTCGCGTGATTAACACGAGACAGGGCTACAATAGGCTTGCGTCTCTCTTATCCTACGTATGAATCGGAATGAAAATATATTTTAGTCACTTGTTTAATTAATTCAATAACATCAAGGCGTTAACCCGCAAATTTGTATATTTATGCATGCCATTTATCTAATACAACATGCAATCTTTGTTTTTAGTGGAATAGGATAAGAACAGTGTAACGTATCCAACGAATTCGTGAGAGGTTTTTGGCAGGAGCACAGTTAATTTACTTTTTTTAATTATGTTTATAGGCATAACGCTATTACGGATAAATATTAATCAGACTGATAGTGCAGCCCTTATGAAGTTTACTTTGTCATAAATTCCCGTATTCACCAGATGACAAGATAACCGTATGATATAATATATCCTATCGTTTAATTATCTTTTTATTGGAGGTGTAGTAAAGTTTAATCGTGGAAATACTCTCTCATTTTGCACTAACATCTATTCTTAAATCAGTATTTACTACCAGGATACCAAATGTCAACAATATCAGACTCTCGGCTCGGGTTTATTTGTACGCTCGTTTGTTCCACCTTTAATTACAGGTGTTGGAAAAAATGGCAGAACATAAACTGCCTAATTGCAGAAGGACGTTTTAATATAGAAGCGAGATAATAAAGATAGTGATATAACGTAATACAGAATTCCAGACTGACGTTATTCATACAGACGCATCGCGCTTAAGTTTTCTAGGTTAGATTGATAGGTAAAGTTTCAAAATTATTAGCCGGGAACCATTCGAAAAACACTTCACCTGTACAGAATAAATCATTTAAAATGTGTTATTTCTCCATATTCCGGGTCTGTATTATATACTGGATAGTTTAAACCTTCCTTCGGTCCCTGTACTGTACATTCGTATCCTTGTTGCGTGCTGGCGTCCGTTTGTCCAAGCAAAATAGTCCCTTTTAAGACAAAATTACAATAACATGAGCTTTGTATAGACTGAGACATTGTGTTGGCACAACCTATTCCCTGCCATAAAACACGTTTGTCTATTTTTTGCCCGTGCCTCTCTCTCTCTCTCTCGCCCTCCCCCGCTCCTCCCTCCCACCCCGTCTATCTGTCGCTCTCTCTCATATAAGATACACATCGGCAGTCTGAACCGGCCCATAATATGAGAAACGCGAAGGACCTCCGTTCGCCACGGTTCGCCCACGGTTTAATGCACAGTAATAACCTGTTGTTCGTTTACTAGGCTATATATTACATTTTTAGTAATGTTAAACAAAATATGTTGCACGATAACGTTGATATAGCACAACGCCGTATGCTTAATTTCTCCGCAAAATTTATGAACCTAAATTCTTAACGATTGCTTTTCACGACCTGTGCCGGGCAAACGAGTACGAGGCAGGGCTGGACTGAGATTAAAGATCGGTCCTGGATTTTGGGGTCCCCCACGATAAATTTTGCCGGCCCACATACCCATCGACGGTGGGTCAGAGGGACAGTCCATTCCTGATGCAAGGCCAGGGGTGATTTCCCAGGTTTGTAGGTGCCCGGCGGCCTGTGTCAATGAGAAAAACAATCAGCGCTCCCCTTGTGCCATGTCAGTGTCGGTAAGGTATACCTGGCTGTCTACGGCTGGGAACACGGCAGCATTGCGCAATAATACGCTACTATTTGGAAATCGCAACGCAGTTTCTTCATGAATGGAAATTAGTTCGTAGTAACTATAGGCTTGCTCTTAACGTCCGTATGTAATCGCGTAGGCCTATATAATAAATTGATTTATGTCCCTGTATGATCAAGTATTGTATAGTGCTTTAGGAGTTAAATTACAACTGTTTAATTGTAATGTGTATAGGCAACATTAACAATGGTTTGATTTGTGGACGGGGTAACTTTCTTCGCCCTTGCACAGCCGGCACAGTATGTGCTTACGGTTCTTATTTGTATTAATCAGGGTTTCTATGTTACAGTGTATTACTACCCTTTGCATGTAAATACTGGTGGCATTGTGCTTCGATGTACTTTCATCGAATCAATTAGTTCTGCAGAAATGACACTGAATCTGAATTTTGTGAACATAGTCGATACTTTATTGACCTGACTGGAACACGCTGTGCGCAGCGGTCATCGCGAGAAACAAAAAATAATAAGGACATCACCATGGCCATGCAAAATCCCTACTGATAGTCCTTCAAAAACCCCCAAAGAGCACCGTTAAAGGAACCGCTTAGCCCAAAGTACCACGGAGATCTGTTTATGACATATTCCCGGCTAAAAGAGTGAGGGGTCATTGACTTATGCATTTGACAGGACAGGCTGGAGGATACTTGCCACCGTGTTCTCTTGTATTTGTAATCGTTTATGCGCGAGATACTGTACCGTACTGCCCGCATGGGTTTCCGGTCTTCGGGACCGTGAAGTTATTTTTTAGGTTGTAAGTAGTTGTGTTAGTCACTATTGTTATAATACAGATACAGAAAATATGAAGTTTATTCTAATTTCTCGGTTGCAGCAATTCAGAATGACATGTCATTTTCAACATAAATTTGAACCGGCTGTTACCCAAAATAGACTGGGATTTTGTCGATTTGATGACAGCTTGAAGAATTCCTTCAGTAACATAATAATAATAATAATAATAATAATAATAATAATAATAATAATAATAGGGATAATAACGTTTTGAACACAAAACACAAAATCTTCTACTGTCCCACCCGCGCCGAACCCACCGGTCTTATATATAAGATGTCAGCCTAATTAATTAACCTCTACCACCTTGAGTGTTTTTTTACGACATTTCGCCTGACACACACCTAAATTAAAGGCTTATTGTAAAACAAATTTAACAAGGCTGCTCAATCGATTTTAAGCATCTGGCAAACGGGCTTTAAAGAAAGTAGGCATCTTTTCTTTTTGTAGCCTATATGTTTGACATGATATCTCAAAGTCTTTCACATGTAAGCCTGTAACAATTTTTATTATGTTCTCTGCCATGTCCACTGTACTTGTTACAGCATTTGGCATCAAACGACCCCTTTTTCACCCAAAAATGTATCCAAGTGTCCAAAAACTCTCCAAAATAGGCAATGCATTTTTTGTAGAAACAATAATCTATGAATATATTAAAATATCAAAAATACAAAAAGGTATACATTTCAGAAAATAAATAGTTAAAATACGTTAACATAGCGAATGATACGTTAAAATAGTGAATGATTTTGCGCCCGCTTTCCGCTCGTAAGAATGGTGTTTTTTTTAATGAGGCGTGGCCAGGCGAAAGGGTGACCAACAAGAACCATGTCTGAAGTCAGTGGCGCACTTTTATTTATATTTTGCTAACTGCAGACCCAAAATTTAAATAACACACGCGCACAATTAAGTCCCCATTCCCAGCTGCTGTGCTCCTTCAGCAACGAGTTTTTATGTCTTATGACATCATCATACCGTACCGTTTTCGGTACTACACAGATGATCTGGTGACGCCAGAAAACGAGGACACGCTCACTGCTACCTCATCCCATGCCTGCTTTACCTCGAATGGCTTCAGTGGAACAGTGGGGCTCCCGTAGGAGACGTGCTCACGCCTTCTCACCTCGCACAGAAAACACAGTGGTACCTCGGTTCTCGAACTTAATCCGTTCCGGACTCCGGATCGAATCCTAAAAAGTTGGAGTTCTGATCGAATTTTTCCCATAAGAAATAATGGAAAACCAATTAATTGGTTCCCGGCCCCCCAAAATTACACCTAAATATGTTTTGGGTTTTTTTAGCATTTAAAAACAAAATGAACAGGATAAAACAAGAAGAGAGTTTTTTTCTTAATGGCTTGCAAAACGATGAAGATCTTATCCCAACATTACCACTGTCCAGCCCCGATCGTCCGCTCCTTCTGTGTGCCACGCCTCCTCGTTAACCTCGTGTGGGATCCCCATGTGATCAGCTGTTTCTGGTTGTTTTCAT